CAGCTCAGGCGGGACTTGGAAGCAGCAGCCGCCGTCCCAGCTGGGGGCGCAGATGCGTAAGGCCCAGCCCTGGGGACCTGATGCACCGCCAGTGGCCAAGCCACGAGAGCCCAGACTCGTCCGCCTGGGCAGACGGCAGCTGGCCATCCTGGCCACGCGTATGCGCCGCATGGCTCGGCGCTGGCGCCCCCCGTCTGTGGGGACCGAGGCTCAGGACCGCAGGCACTGGGACTCCTACTGCGTACCGTTCATCTTCCACCAGCTGAGCTCTGGGGAGTACACCGCCATGCTGGACGACCTGGCAGCCACCACGGGCAGCGGATCCCGAATTGCCAAGCGCATGAGGACTGCACGGGAGTTGGGCGACGAAGCCTGGAACCGTGGAAGGGAGGCCAGGCGCCTCCAGCGGCAATGGTTAGAGCATCTGCAGTTTACCAATCATGAGGCTTTTGAGCGTGAGGCGGCTCAGCAGGACCGCAACCAGTCAGCCGCGGAGCGGTGGTTCGACCGTCAGTCCCAGGCCACGCCGACAACGCAGGCCCCCACCGTCTACTTCGACGACCGCATCCACTGTTGGAGATTGTGCGCCGCGGAGGTGCTGGAGGCCGAGCTCGGCCCATCCACCTCGACTGGGACTTCGGAGGAGCCGGGGCTCTGCGCAGCCTCGCCAGGTGACTGCACCGAGCTCACTCCCACCCCAGCCGCGAGCAACCGCACGGACGAGCACCGAGGAGCCGCCCCAAGCATTTCAGCTGCTGGCCTCTCTGCCGTCCCAGGCAGCCCAGACCAGCTTACGTCAGTCGGTGTTTGCTACGATTCAGCTGTTTCCACGGGCGATGGACTCTCGGCCGTTGACGGTGGCACCCAGGCGCAGCTTTGTTCAGCCAGTGGTCTTTCGTGCTCCACAGTACCCGCGGATGGTGGTTTCTTGGCCGCTGGGGGCACTCAGGTGCAAACTACGTCAAGCCGCGGCCCCTCTGGCTCAGATGCCTCACCTGTTGAGGGTTTTTCTGTCGCCGTTGGAGGCACTCAGAAGCTGTTTACGACAGTCGGTGGGTGTTCGGGCGTTGCTGTTCTCACAGGCGAGTCTCTCCTGGCCACTGGAGGCCCTCAGGCGCAGATTACGTCAGTTGGTGGTTTCTCGGACCCAGTGGTTACAGCAGGTTGTGGAGGCTCTGCTCACGGAGGCAGTCAAGCGTTGCTTGCGCCTGGTTTTGTTTCTGCTGGTTCAGCTGTCTCATCTGGGGAAGGCCATCGCGGCCCTGGGCAGACATGCATCGTCGGCACGGCGCAGGAGGCTGTGGCTCACCCTACCGAGGGCAAGGACCTCAGCGTCGGCGGCGTTGGCGGCCAGTCCACCTGCAGCGGGACTTCGGCAAAGCCCCAGTGCGACGTCGCCAAGTATCGACCCCCAGCAGCAGGAGCTCGTAGAGGCAAGCGTCGACAGCGGAGCCACAGGCGCTTCACCTTCCACAGTGTCAACGCCAGCCTCAGCTGGGGCAACGTTGTGGGCTACCTCCACGGAGCGGCACACCAGCAGCTCACCGAGGGCAAGATTCCGATCATCGGTTTCCAGGAGCACGGCAAGCGGCGTTTGTGGGCCGAAGAGAGCGCACGGGCCCTGCTGCCCTTGGGCTGGAGGGCCCTGCCCGCGCCAGCGACGGACGGCCCGAAGGGAGGGGCCTCGGCGGGCGTCATGCTGGCGATACCTGCCTGCGTCGGCGTCACCCTTGCAGCTGGACAGCGACACTGGGACATATCGCCCCCAGGCTGTGCGGGCAGGCTCCTGATGGCCACCCTCGAGGCCAAGGGCATCGGCAAGTTGCTTGTTTTCTGTGTGTATTGCTTCACGGGTCAGAAGCTGGCGTCAGTGGGCAATTATGCTCTCCTGTCGGTCATCACAGGGTGGGCAGTCCAGCTCCAGCTGCCCTGGCTAGTCATCGCGGACTGGGAGAATCTACCTGACGCATTGGAACGTTCGCCGTGGAACAACCAGCTCAGAGGCCGTGTCGTAGCATGGCAAGGGGAAGGGGGCACCAACCGCTCCCCGCATGGTGAGCGCGTGATCGATTACTTCTGGATGCACTCCAGTCTGGCGGCCAATATTTCCCCAGCCCGCATTGACGACGACGCGGTCTACCACCCTCATCGAGCCACATGGGTAGAGTTTCTGCAGCCTTGGTCCGCCTTTACCTACACCAAGCTCATCCGACCCCACAAGTTCCCGATCCCAGGAGTCAAGCCGAAGCATTTCGATCTCTCATGTCCAGACGTGCCTGCGGGTTTCGACCCCGATGCGGTGCCTACCCAGGAGCTCCTGGACGGCACCTGGGAGGTCTTCTGCCACGCCGCCGAGGAGGAACTGATCCAAAAGGTGGGTTTGGACCCCAGCAGTCGGCAAGCCGATCAATGCCGAGGGCGTGGGGGACCACCACGCTTCAAGAAATGCCCGTTGCTCCCGACCCACACCGAGGCCATCGCCTCGTACGGGGAGGCCAAGCGCTGGAGGTGGTTTGCCAACGAGTTGGCTTGGCTGGGCATCATTGAAGTGAAGCTTTTCAGCTACACGGGCGCTTCCGACCTGGCCCTCACCACGCTGCACCAGCAGCGGCACGCCTCCATTCGCAAGTTGCGTGACCGCTTCAGACTCCACATGCTGGTTGAAGGCGTGGCTGAGTTGCAGGAGTTCTTCGAGGTTTTCACGTCTCGGGACCGCGGCTTCGAAGACTTGCAGGAGCTCGCGGAGTGGCGCCTCAGCTGCAGTCAGTATGCCTCGTACTTAGAGTGGCAGATCGGCAAGGAACGACGAGATTCCTTCAAGCAGCGGTTGGAGGACGACTTCCCAGGCTCGCAGGGGCTCCTCCACAAGGTCACCAAGTGGCGCCAGGCTTGGCAGGCCCCCAAGGGCAGCATATCCAAGAAGCTGCTCCCAGCGGCGCCTCAGGACGCCGTGGACCAGGAGTTGCACGACTGGTCGAAGGTCTGGGTCACTGGCTCAGGTTTCCCCAAGCCATGGAGGGGCCTCCAGCAAGTCGCTGTCACGCCGCCCAGCCCTCACCACCTGCGTGGCTTGGCCCAGCGTTTCAAGGCCAAGACGGGGATTGGCGTGGACGGATGGCAACCAAAGCTTTGGGCGTACCTCACGGACGGCACGCTCTCGGTGCTCGCGTCATTGTTGGCCTGGTGCCAACAACTGGGGCGGTGGCCGACTCAGGTCCACCTCCTGCTCGTGTTCATCATCGGGAAGCTCGATGGAGGGGGCCGACCCATCATTCTACTACCTGGCCCTTGCCGAATCTGGGAAGCGTGGCAGATGCCCACCATCAGGAGTTGGTTGGCGGCACACCCCAGGAGCTACGACTACACGGCGGCGGGCCAATCCTCCGAGCGTGCCCTGTGGAAAGCTTTGTTGGACGATGAGCTCGTGTTGGGCACAGGCATACGTGCGGCTACGATGCTGGCGGACCTCGCCAAGTGTTATGAGAAGGTTTCCCATGAGCGTATGTGGTGGCTTGCAGCTTGGTGGGACGGCCCGCTGGAGGTGGTCGCGCTCGCGCTGGAGAGTTTCGCCTTTGGCCGTGTCATTCGTCTTGGGGAGGCCTGCTCGGCGCAGGTCCTGTCCTCCACAGCGCTCCCAGCGGGCAGCCGTTTCGCGCCCACCTTCCTGAGGTTCTACCTCATGCTGTGCTTAGACGACCTGCTGGGGGTCTTCCGCCTCACGATCTACCTGTACGTTGATGACATCGCCCTGCGGGTCATGTCCACCGAGGCGCGCGTCTTGCACATTTTGCCGCAGGCCACGCGCTTGCTGTTCTGGATGTTGGAGTCCTTCTTGGGCCTGGAGGTAGCCCGAGCGCGGGACGGGGCGAGAGGCAAGTGCTCCTTCCTGCAAACGGCCACTCCGTCTTCAGGCTTGACGCAGGCCATGGCCGTCCTGGGAGTGCCGCCCAGCACCTCTGAGCGGTGGCTCGGTATCGACTACGGTCCCAGCGTCAAGGCAGAGAACCAGTCAGCCCCAGTCAGGCACGCGCGGCTCAAGATAGCCAAGCAGCGCTGGCCTAAGATACGCGGCCTTCCTCGTGCACGCGGGGGCAAGCTCAAGATGGTCGTGCGGCAGGGCCTCGGAGCCTCGGTCGCCTACGGTGCCCGTGTCCGCGGCACGCCCAGGCCCATCGTGCGTTTCATCCAACAGAAGGATCGGGCCGTCCGCAGAGGCGCCACAGCCTTTACCTCCCGAGTCTTGCACGACGGCCTCGACCCCAGTTGCGCCGACGCCCTCGTTCTGGCGCCGCTGCTGGCCTGGGCCAGGGAAGCTTGGGACCACCCAGAGGGGCGACGGGCGCAGGCCACGGCATGGGCCCGAGTGCAGCAACAGCTCGCGCTGTACAGCGACGCCGACGCGCAGGAGTTGTGGTCAGTGGTGCGCGGCCCAGCGGGGGCCACCTCGGTCACAGTCAGAGCCCATGGGTGGAGCATGCCATCAGCCTTTGAGGTTGTCTTGCCTCCACGTGGCGGAGTGCTCCAAGGAGGGGACGTACATCTGGACCTACTGCAGATCTGCCCCAAGTCCGTTGAGGCCGCCGTGCTGTTGGCCGCCCGTTCCCGAGCTTTGTGCCAGTGGGCGGCGGCCCAGCCCGAGCGGGCTGCGCTCCTGCCAGCGCCGTGGCTCACCCCAGCGAGGCAGTTGGTCAAGCGACGCAAGCAGGACGGGTGGCTGCAGCACCATGCCGACGCGGTCAAGAAGGCGGTGCTGGGAGGTTTCCCTTCGCAGGAGGCTCTTTTCTTGTCGGGCCAGGCGGACACTCCGTATTGCCAGCTGTGCGACGACACGACCTGTTTCGGCACGCACCAGCACTATTATTGGCGGTGCGGCAGCCCGACGTGTGCTACAGTAAGGGAGCAGCTGACAGCCCACGACGCATCACCTACCTTCAGAGACGTCAGCCACCTGGGCGTGTCGGCCTCCTCGTCGGAAGCCTCAAGGTGGCTATGGGAACGGG